GTCGAGTTTGTTTATCAAAAATTCTTTGATGTTTAACAAAATATTAAATACATAATAAAACAAATTGTGGCTTCCAGGTGTCCATATTCGAATATAGGACTACGTTATTCAAAATTGGATTTTCTAAATACCGCTGTTTCTCTCCAGTGTGAGAAACATACATAAATTCATGCAGATTCTTCATTATTTATTTTCTTTAAATATAATTCAAGGCTCTAATAACTAGTGGCGACAATTTGAAAAGTGAACCGACGCAAAATGCCGAAATGAAATTAATAGCCCTTCTGAACAAATTGTCTCTTTGGACTAATAACAAATGTATGTAGCTATTGCAATCTTGTGGTGGTTACTTTGAGTACTTTGTAAAGTTCATTCTAGTTTTCTAACCTGTTATTTTATTTCAGTGCCTTTTCCTACCAAGCCCCGTTTCAATTCTCTGCAAGAATGCAAATTTACAGCACACGCGATTTTCAGATTAGGTAGAAAGAAAGAAGTACTTAAAGGGAGGTTTCAGAAAATGAAATCTGAACGTGTTCTGCCTGCTTGAAAGCCACGTTGATAACTTCTAATCTCTAGCGATTAGAATTCAGCGTCGTTGAGTGATTTTTGCCATTGGCTTTGTTTACACCGACTTCGGTCGGTTTGCATGTGAAAACTAAATTAACCTGTTAAGCCATTATTCTAGACCAGAGATTTTTAACCGACGTTACGCGTACCACTAGTGGTATTCAAGAGAAAAATAGGTGATACGCAAAGAAAAAAAATTGAATGAAAAAGTAATTTTAACGACTAAATTCAAAATTCTCGTGAAGAAAAAGAACAATTGATAAAAATTTTCTGTGATCGAACTCTAACTGAATATTTCAAAAATAACACACTCGTTAACATTTGGCTGAACCGAAAAAAAGAATTTAAAGGCATTTCAAATAAATCAATTTTTGCACAACCTGTTTGTGTGAAGAAGGATTTTCTTCCATGCTATATTAAAAAAAACAGAGAACAAAGTTAAAAGTGGATGGAAATTTGCGGTTAAAACTAAGTGAAATATGACTAGTCATTAAAGAAAACTGATCTCTTTAAAACAGGCCTAAATTTCACAATAAATTTTAGAATTAAATATTAAAACTTAAATTTTTATAATTAAAGTGGTAACCAATTTTAATATAATTTTTATGTGTGCATATTTAATACAAATAGCCAACAGGTTGTGCAAATGGCAAAATATATTTTTTAAATGTTTCTATTGAGAAAGTGAAAAATAATCATTTGAAAAAATGTAGTGGTGGTACTAAAGTTTTTCAATTTTTGTTTAGAGGGTACGCGTTAGTCAAAAGACTGTTTACATAAATCACTTGCTTCTTCCTGCCGTAAGCTTATTACAATCCATTGCGGTTTTGCCTAACGCCCCAAACAGTTTCGTTTTAGAAAGGATTAAAAACGTTTTAAACCGATATCTTCTGTCTTAGGGCCGAATTCAGGCTTAAAAAATCACAAATTAGCGATCTGTTAAGAAAGTTTCCGGAATGCTCACACTTTTGTGAGTGATTTTCCATCTCACATTTTCTAATCGCTAATTTGTGGTTTTCTCGGACGGATTTCTGCGTTACACGGATGGCGCAGTCGACTTTTATCGCCTTTAAATGGTGATTTTGTTTGGGGCGATGTTTTTTAAGGGTATACAACATATTAAACCTGTGTAAAAGAAGGTTATGTTTAGATTCCAACCCTCATTTCGTTTAGCAATATTGCATGCAGCCCCATTTACCCCCTGGTGGTGAGTTTTTGAACAGAAAATAAATTCCCATGATCTCCTTTACACGATTATCAAGTTTGATAACATTTAATCCAGCAGTTTTAATTTTATGACTAACTGGAACTTTAATTATAACTACACTGTACTTTTGTGTTCTTAAAGAGTAATGCAACAGGGCATTCATAAATAAAGTAATTGAAATATTGCATCGCGTATACGTGTTGAATATTCTCATTGAACTTGAACCACCGAATTAAACTTTTGAAATTTGAGCAACTGACGATTATATCAATGATTTTGTTTTTTCATGAATTGTAACTGGAAAAATACAGGTAAATAGTAATCTTAATCCATTATTAGAGTTTTACTATTCCCAATGAATTGCAGATTTTCATCATTTAATGGCCACTCTAATCATACTTTAACCCTTTGACTACTAGCGGAACATATATGTTCCACTAAAAGTTTAAAAATTACTGCTGGGTCAAAAATTGCTAAGAATCTCCTGAATGTTAGGGGATCATCTTCCAATAGCTGGAAAATCAAGACACCGCTGTGATCGTAGTACACAAATGAACATAGATAAAAGAACAAATGTGAATTGCCCAATGTTTAATGTTGGGTTATGCAAAGAATGCTTTACCCTGTACCATACGATGTAAAATCCATTTCATACAATAAAGGTTTCCAGGTGTGCGTATAGTAAGTCGATGGTTACGTGTGGGACATATGTACTTCACCATTAACTATGGTTGGGGCATATGTGTTCCACTCTTTGGCTTGAAAACCGTTTGTCAAAAAAATCCCAGATGCTAAATATACATTATTTATGACATATTTTGTTCACTTGGATAGAATATAGTATCTGCTATCTTGAATTTAACTTTAAACGGCAGTTATATAGTCAATAATTTAAACATTCTCGTGTTTTGGGCAATGAGAGCAAGAAAATTAAAAATCACAACTGGTTACAAATCTTTCAGGTATTTTACTACTTCGTATTGTATTTCATTCCATCATTTCCTATATGCAGACCTTCTCTGGTTTGAAAGTTTGTTTGCTTTCCGATTCAGTGGCTGATCATATGAATTCCGCAATACTCCAATTGTACGAAAAATTTACAGTTACCGATTGAATTTCCAGTTTGTTAAAAAATAATTTTTGTTTAGAGAAAATTAAGGTTTTAAGATTATGCTCAATATTTATGGATTTCGACGCAACTCCAAATACACTGCCCTCCAAAAGTTACTGAACAGCATGTTTTTGGTGTTTAATTTGAGAATGAAGCAACATGGAAACAAGAAATTTACCGGGCATGTTCACTAAGCAGTTCTTTAATGAATGCGACATAGAATGTTTCTAAAGTTCAACACAAACATGAATTACCGCAAAAAACTTTTGCTAGAATCCGTCTTGGAAGCATATATCATAGTTTGAGGAAAATTGGGGTCGTAATATTACAAAAATGGGTTTTAATAAGGAATGTGTCCACCCCTATTTGTAATACATTGTCGGCAGCGACGTTCCATGCCGTCAATTAATTTGTCGCTCAGCGGGAAGCAACGACCAGACACGGAATAATTCTTGTTCAAATTCATCTAACAACCTTGGAGAAGGACTTAAAGCAACAACTTGTCTCCCAAAGTAGTCCCAAAGATGATGTACTGAATTCAGGTCTGGGGATTGACGTGGCCATTCCATCCGCTATATAACGTTACCTTCAAGATATTCTCCAGCAATCCGAGCTCGGTGCAGTCGCTCCTTGTCGCCATCAGAATAAACCCAGGACTCCTAGCAGCGGCATAAGGGCGTACATATTGATCAAGGATCCTGTCTCAAAATCTCATACCGCTCAAATTTCCTCCATGGAACACATTCAGGTCAGTATAAGTACTAAGAGAGATCCCAGCCCAACCTTTATTCCTCCACCTCTGTAACTGTGTCTTTCCACAATGTGGGATTGGTTGTATCTGGTGCGTAGCTCCCTCCAGATCAGGTGACGACCTGAATCACTCTCCACTATGAACATGGACTCGTCTGTGAAGAGAACAGATACCCATTGGTGAATGGTCCAGGAGTGTTCTCTTGACCAACATAAAGAGGCACCTCTTTGTCCTCGAGTCAATGAGACGCAAATAACAAGTCATCATGCATACAGACCTGTATTGTGCAGGGATCTGCGTACTGTAGTAGCTAAGATTCTTGTTCCTGTTGCCAATGAATGATTTGGCCATGAGCGACGCACAGTATTTACTCTCCTCAGGCCTAAAAGACTAATAACGGTCTCCCGTAGGTGTTGTAACTTTAAGTTTGCCTGGAACATGTCTTCTAGATACAGAATCCTAGTATTAAAACTGATTCCGTAGTCGGTGAACCACACAACGAGAGACATTGAGACGTCTAGCAGCATCAGCTTGTGACATCCCCATTTTCACCCATCCGACTGCCCGCCACCTCAATGAATCGTGCAAACGATTTCTCCTGGATATGGTCCACGAAACTGTAATAAGAACTCAAGTTCAACACTCGTGAACAAAAATTACAATTTTTGCATTTTTTTTCCAACTTCTATATAAATATTCATTTCTATAAAATAAAAGTGGTAGCTATTGTTTTTGCATATAATTTCTCAAACTTCTTTATATATGAATCTAAACATTACTGACATTTTTGTAATGGTGAACTTTGAAAAACATGCTGTTCCTTAACATTTGGAGGGCACTGTATACGAGTCTTATAACCTTTAAAGAAAATAGAGTAACTACTCAGTATTATCTTACATTCTTATGTGTTTAATAAAATTGATACAAAAATTGAAGAACATTGGGAATTCATAAGCTATAACATCTGTCAGCTGTTCACAATGTTCAAGATTCAATGATCTTTTCTTAATGGTCTCTTCTTAATAATGGTCCTTAATTACTGCATTAATGTTTAAGAACTTAATTTCTTAAAGAACTGAGCCCACCAGCGGCCGAGCGGTAAAGTCGCTGAACACTGGTAGTTCGGTCCGAATCCCGCGAACGGGCTGGCTGCATGGCGTTTCTGGTTTTCCCAGTGTAACGTGTGACGAGCCAGTTTTTCATTATACGTCCTCACGAAGGCATCCTCCCTTAATCAGATAGCCCGCGAGGCTTTGCATAATCACACACACACATCTTAAAGAACTGATGAATGTGTACGTCTAATGAGATTCATAATTGGATTATTCTCGCTATTTTATTAATTTAGGAATGATTTATTGTAAGATTACTTATGAGCTGAGTGAGCAGACGGTTGGTCAATTCAGGGCAACACAACGTTTACATTCTTTGCTCCCAGTGACGATGCATGGATGCAGCTCAAAAGAAATATGCCCACAGTATACAAGCAACTCACCATGAAGGCTTTTCCCTACCATACCAAAAAGGTACATTCAATTTTACAATCCTTTTTTACAGTTATGCTGGTATTTCTCTCAATAAACTTGCATTTCTTTTCAGAAATTTTTCGGTTACAGAAAAGCGATGTCAAATTCTTTGAAACTTGTTTTATGCCAAATATTTAATGTTAACTCTTTGAAAAACCAAAGTCCTCACTAACCGTGCGCTTGGAATATCGAAGCGCACGAAATGCCTTTGGAGGGTTCACAGAAGTTTCCTGCCCTCCCCATCCATTAACGCACAAAGAGGTAAATGACGTAAGAGAATAGGTACATGACAAATGAAGATACGAAACCCCAAATAAATTCTTTTATGTCAAGCTGTCTGCAATATATTGATACAAAGCATTTGGGGAACCTGCACCCGCTACTGCGTACCTTCGGGGGGAGGAAAGAAACGAAAATTCAAATTTCGCCTGTTCGGGGCGGTCGTGGTTGTTTGAATAAACGGCCGTCTAGGGCATTATGGTCTTCAAAGAGATGCCCTAGACGGCCGTTTATGCTTGGTTACGACGAAAATCTTATAGATTTAGCGAATTTTGCAGGAATAAATCCTCATTCCATTGTCTGTACGAATATGTCTGCATAGAGCCTTTGCTAAAGTTTCTGTTCAAAGGGAAGTTTCGAAGAATGCTTTTTCTTTATTTGCTTGTCCCAACTGAAAATCGAAGTGAACCAAAATTAAACGCGGGTAACATTTTCTGTCAACTGTAGTATCGAAGAATTCTGCAAGGTCAGTAGACAAATAATGTTGTGCTCTTCCCGATGCTGACGTCACTTTTGGAAGTGGGAGAAAAATGTCACAAAGAGAATAGCTCCTTTTGAACAGACTCCTGTTTCATGTATAATATATTTAAACTCTGTACGCATGTTCTTTGCTTGCTTAAATACTTGCTCAGGAACTTAAAAAAGTCAGCTACTATATAATGCTTTCGGCCGTCTGCTGTTCCAAGAAACATATAATAGAAAAATTAACTAACTAAGCATTTTGGTTGAATCATCTATAGGCAGGCTTTTATTAAGAAATAATAAATAGTTTTGAAATATATTGAATCTGTGTCCTTCAGACTTTACTATGCAGGCAAACGAGTTACCGCTCTAGTCTGAATTAATAAGGCAAAATCCTAAGAAAAACCTTTATATTAACTCTGTAAATGTAACAGAAGGCTACAATTGTGAGTACAAATAACTCGTTTTATGCTCTTCCCAACGTTGACATTACGTACTTACACAAGTAGAAGAAAATGCCACAAAGAGCAGGGCCGGGGACGCAGCGCGTAAAAGTACGCATGCGTTAAAAATCAGGGGAAGGGCAGACTCGCGCGATACAATGCCTAAATATTTTAATTTGCGAGTACTTAAAATAATATAATCTGAAATTCAAATTCGAAGTAACGTAATCAGGGACTACGTAAAATGGTCCCCTGCTAAAAATGCCCCGTAGAAATCCATAAAGCATTTTTACGGGAAATTGGCCTACGGGTACCTTACAGCTCTTCAGGTACTCGTAGGCCAAATGCCCGTAAAAGCCCACAGATGGAAACCCGTGAAACTGTACGGGTACCCGTAGACCAAATCCCCGTAAAAACCCATAGAAAGAAACCCATACAGCTTTACGGGTACCCGTAGGCCAAATCCCCTTAAAAACCCATAAAAAGAAACCCATATAACTGGACGGGTACCCATAGGCCAAATACTCGTAAAAATCTATAAACAGAAACCCGTACGACTGTATGGATACGAGTAGGCCAAATTTCTGTAGAACTGTAGGCACCATAAACGAAATCCAAGCAAAAACCCATAGCCAGAAATCAGTACTTTATGCATATCCATAGGCCAAATCTCCATTAAAAAATGGATATTCCGCCATGTAAAAACCAGTAGACAAAAACACGTACACCTATATATAAACACGTACCCATAGGCCAAATCCCTGTAAAAACCAGCACACAAAAATCCACTGACCAATAAAGGTACCTCTTGGAAAAATCGCTGCACAAAACAGTAGACAAAAACCCATACACAAAACCAATAGTATTATACCTTAGCGGAGTATCCATACCTAGAATCGCACATAGAACTTGTATCCATATACAGAATCCCTATAAAAAAAACAATACACAAAAATAGAAATGTAGATCAAATTTCCATAAAAACTAGTAAATAAAAGCATAAATCAGCAGAAGTATATAATTAGCGATGATGAAATGTACATAACTAAAGGGCGGAGAAAGCATGTAGAGTAATTTTAAATAAAATTCAATGCGAATAAACTTAATACAATGTTTTAAATATCTAGAAGTCTACGCGCCGGTCCTTCAATCATGTATATCTATATACATATTACAAATATTTGTATAAATTCTTACAAAATTAAAACCCTTGTTAATATGAAAAAAATTATAGAAAGATAGTAATCAAAGTCTATTCCAACCTCGATGAATAGTACATATATAATATGTTATAGTAGAAAATAAAGAATATAAAGTTAATTAGCATTATAAAATTAATTTTTCCTTCTCTATTCTAAAATAAAAATCTCTCTGCACTGCGTCATTCGAGATAATCCATGTCTAGATCTACATATTTGATGTTAAATGAACTAAAACTCAAACGCTTATAGTAATTTTACAGCAGTTGAAATCCAATAAAAATGCATCAAGAACCAAAATTATTCAGTCGATACGTTTCACATAAGCATTTGCTTTCTCGCTTGGCCTAGTGGCTGCAGTCTGTCTGCTCCTTTTTCTTACTACAAATTTTTTTAATGTAACTTTTGGAATAGGATAAATATGTTCCAACTGTTTGTGGCTTAACATATTTGCTGAAAGAAAATTGAATTAAATATACTAGTTGCCAATTCTTATGATTGGGATGGAGTTTCACATCTCTAGGCATCAAATTCTGCTGTCTACGGATTTACCGTCTATTCGACAAGAATCTATTACATAGATATTAAATATATTTATGTTGGAATACTGACTTGATTGTATCTTAGATTATTGATGATGACTGATTGATGAACATATATCTGTATCCCCTGCATATATTTGTTTCATTCTTTAATTGGGAAATAAACAATGGCATTAATCACATCGCTTGTTTAACATTTGATACCTAATGAGAATGGTTGTATGTACTTTCTAGATCTGTTTAAATTTTATTCACTGCAATGCATAAACCAAATTAACAAAGCTGAGAAACCCTAATTTAGGACATATTAGCAAGCAAGTAAAAAATAAGGATTTGGAAATAGAAACTAGCATATTACCACTGATAGCATACCGCAGCTATTATTCACAGAACAAGATGTTGGTGGAACAAAGATGAATCCTAGATAATGTAGTGAAGAAAAAAATAAGAAACAAAAAAACACTGTGTCGACCACCTTTACTATACTTTGATTTACCTGTATCTCTCAAAGAAATGATACATGAATATAAATATAAAACTGAATCATACCCAAAAATACAATAATTATTTGTAAAAAACTTTAAAAAAATTACAGATCTCAACAAATAATTTTCAACCACAGTTCGGAATTAAGAAATATCATAGCGTAAATATTTTTCGATCTACTTTTAGTGCTATATAATCTTCCACAGATTTTATATAAATAAAATATATAACATAATAGGTATTTATACTATATGTAGTTCTTTATGTAAAAAAGATTAATTATCTTTCATACTGAAAACATTCCATGTCTGTGAATAAGTATGAATATACTCGTACTCTTATCCGCGTAATTACAAGTATATATTTATTAAATAACTAATGAAACCAAATTCCTATAGAAAAACAGAGGAAAGTGTAGAATCATCCACTGCTTGGCGCGTTTTTAAGAATTGCTCATACTCTTTATCCATGTACACATCGACCTATTGTTCACTTAAAAAAAAATCTCAGAATTGTACAAAAATGGCATTGCGCACTCCCTTGACTTTATCCATTACACATCGACTATTTCATTAAAAGTCAAAGAAATGAAAAACAAATCCATTTTCTTCTTGTAAAAAGTGAGAAACAATATGGGCGATTCTGCATTTACGCAAAAATATATAAAATTACATTACTAGATATATATAAATAGATTCTAATATATATATATATATAATTATCTATATATATATATATAAAGGATTTATACATGTGTTTAGTATAAGTTATTTAATTTCTATTGTAGAAAAAATACTTTAAAAGTGTATGAAATTTATTTTGAACCTAAAATTCTAAAAAGTACTGAAAGGTAGTATGTTATTGACAGCAGATATAAATAAAAAATAATACCTATGTTGAGCATTTCCTGTATTACAATGCCAAATAAAATTATATAGTGCAGTATTAGCAATATAAATGAATCTTGGTCTTATACAAGCACGTAAAATTCTTCATTGCAATAAGCAATAAGCACATCTAGTTACATTTGTTTACAAACAGTTTTATTAGTTAAATCTAAGAAACAATAAATTTAGTGCAAAATTTGTAACACCATTCCGCAGTATAACAATAAAGAAATAATGTTTAAATTTAAGGTATTTCTCCCGCATTCTACGGCTTCGTGGTGTAGTGGTTGACCTGGGACGGTAATCAGAGGCCGTGGTCCGATTCCGGCGAAGGCGTTGCAATTTTTATCATTTCTACTCCCAAAAAATCCAATGTCTCTACAAATATACTCAACATATTTGAAAGCATGCTAAACGGCCCTTACAAGACTATGATTCGAAAGCTTTGGTTTTATTGTTGTAAAACTTCATACTTTGCAAAATCATAAACACTACACCTAAATCATGGATTATACGGCATAAATTCCTAAAACAATCCACTCCACAATTCCAGATAATGACAGTTTCTTGTAACCTGACAAAACTTATCGGTGATTTTAAGTACTGTTATTTAATTATGTTCCTGACAAATGTGTCACTGTCAGAGGTGATCATTTAAGAAAATAACCATTATATG